GCAGAAAAGGCCTTCCTAGTGTCCCATGTCTTTGCTGGTAATGCCCTTCTTTTACATTTCTCCACTCGCCAACCTCTATTGCGGCAGTTGGTAGGGATTACCTATTCCCAATAACGCCAGCCGTGACCTGACCTGGTCCCATGTGTTGGGCCACCACAGTTAACAGGCTAACCCTTGTGAGAACACTTTACATTACACAACAAGACTCTGAGAATGCGGTTTAGTATTCAGATTAAGTATAGTTAACTTATCAGAAAGAGCTCTACTGAAACCTCATTCAGTTCGGTTGAGAAAAGTTTCCTACGAAAAGAACAAAGAAACATGAAATGGACTAAGGTATCACAAAAAATTTTTAAATGAGTGGTTTACCACGTATGTGAAAAAGAAGACTAAATAGTAGTTAAATGAAGCGACACTTGATGGTAACTACTTATAATGTGCGCCGTTGAACTAACTACACTTTATATTTGATATTTTTAATATTATGAAATTGCCGATCATATCCGAAGAAAATTATTATTTTTCAATCTGAAATATATAGGAACGTACCGCCTGTTATTCAGATAGGGTAGTAAATTTCTCTTTTTTTCTATGGTTTAGAAATTAATGAGCAAACTGGACATCAACGGCGATGGCATAATCACGCTAGGAGAATACAAGGTTGCACTTAACATATCAAGTCAACCAATGGATGCGTAAGTACATTATTTAATACATAAAGAAATTTCAGAGACGATAGTTTTGTTTTATCTCATATGCACATTTTTTCGTTAACCAACTTTTCTCGCATTCATCCGAGCATATTCAAACATTTTAAGTAGGAAAGCTCGGGTGTAAAGGTTTCTGTGGTTTTAAAGTCACATACGTTTTTTCCCGATGTTTAATTAATCTAGAAGACAGATGTATCAGCATCAGGCTAATATAACCTATCTGTCATAACTGATGTGAAGAAATTGAGTATTTCAACGCCTCTTAACATTAAATAACTAAACATTTGTCTTCATAAGGTGGAAGGAAATGTTTCAATCCCTCGACAAAGATGGAAGCGGAACAATAAGCGTCAATGAGTTGAAAGCCTTTCTTGCGTCGGCGGGTTCCGCAGACATGCAAGACACTGTAGATGCCTGGATGGAAGACTATGACACAAATAATGACGGCCAACTGAATTATCAAGAATTTTTGGGCTTTATTGCAACTCTCGAAGAGTGATTCTGTGCTAGTATCGGGAACGAAAGTCTTGTGCTATGCATGTCAATCAACTTAACTGTGATTCGATTGTATCTATATAGTCCTATTTTTGGACTTATTGTAAATAAAGCAGCCTTTTGCTGAAGTATGACTTTTGGCTAATCAGCAGGGGAACGGTTACTACTTTCCACGACCTCCTACAGTGCTTAACGTTATTTCATTGAATTAATTGTTTACTTGGGTTTGATCAGAAGAGATCGTTCCTTCGTCGAACGACAGAAACATCTCAATAAATTGCGTCCTCTTTAGCTCGGTTGTGAAATTGGATGATTTGCCATCAGGAAAGCCTGCTTATGGCCGTATGAATTTTTGTTAGTGCCGTTTTCTATTAAGGCTATAGTGTGAAGGCATCTTCTTAGTAGCGATACTGCCCGAACGGTTGGATGTGTGATACTAGGTTAGCCTCCCGAGACTGCCCGATTGAAGTGGCCGTTAGAGCGCTGGAAACGTTCCCACCTCGCCATAGTTACTTTAGATTCAGGCAACATTCCCACGTCCAAACCATCACACACAATCGCACGGGAGCCTACCCCTTGCCGTTCAGAAGTCAGCGAACCTGATCTCAGGCTGCCTTAGCAACCACTGGTCCCGTCGATCTACATTAAAGTGCGATACTCTAAGCTAATCAGCAAGCTAGCAATACTTTCAAAGAGCTAAATACACAGAAATGTCCTGCAGAAACGGGGTAGTAATTAGATTAGCATTTTATAGACGCTTGTCGCGTAAATCAAGTTAAATTAAATTACATTGCATCAGTGGAACCTGGACAATAAGAAACTTGCAGAATTTCATTTTATATTTAGATGGCGGGAACTCTTCGACCTTATAGACGTAGACAGATCTGGAGAAATCGACGCTGCGGAACTGATGTTGTTTCTAAAGGACCACGGATATTCGGAGTTAGTGCCTGCAGTCAAGGCCTGGATCAAAGAGTTTGACAGAAACGGCGATGGGAAATTACAATACAGGGAGTTCCTCAGTTTCGTCGCTTCCCGAGAATGCTAATGTTTCCCCAAACACCCATTAATGAACTTTGTACAAATTATGTGTAAAAGAGAGTGTGTACTATTTTTATGCTTTTTCAATCGTTAAAAATATACAAAAAAATAATGAACGAAAATTCACCTAGGTTAGCAATTGTTATGTTTTGCTAGCGAAAGCTTATGGGTTCGATTTAAGGCGAACTGATATTATTGCCGTTAAAACATAGCAGTAAAAACATATCTCAGCTTTTGATTATGATAAAGAAGACTAGGATTGTTGATGGTTTACTGAAAAATAGGTGAGCCTCGTAGATCAGTGTCGAGCTTTGGTTGCGTAAAAAGCCTTCCCTGTTGTGTGGGTTCGACCCTCACCGATGCCGTGAGTTTTTCATACTTTGGTCAACTGAAATCCAAGGGGATGTAATTTAAAGGGAAGAGAACAAGGTAACTTTATTCAGTTCTTATTTAATATGTCATATATGTCATATCATAAATTATAAGGCAGAAACAAATTGCCGGAAAAGACAAGGGAGAATAGATTAGCCATTATGACTCATTAGCCGTCGTCGGTCAGTCATATCCAACACCGGGGTGGCGACCCCCGAGGTTCGAACCCGCGACCTTTTAATGAAAAGTCCAACGCTCATGCAATGGCGACATTAGCTCGTTTTTTCGCCGGTTCATCAAAGACTGGGTAATACTTAATGTGTCAAGGGGATGTCAATGCAAAATGGTTGCAAAGATGGGAGATGTAAATCGTTTTCTAAGCATTTCCTCATGTTTTAGAATTCAGTTGTGTACGCAACCTTGGTTATTGTATACGTAGTCAGCTTAGCAGTCTAACAGGGATTTCAGTTGGAATGAATTATTAGGGGAGCATTTTGTGAAGTTGTGGGCCAAGTAAACGTTTATAAAGCATACATAATGACAACGAATAAATTGTACCTGCTTAAGACGCAAAAGTACATGCAAGGCGTGCAAATTTGCGAACGAAACCCCATAGCACAAAACTCAAAACTAAGATTCTTATTAGGCCAAGGGCCTTTCTAATGTTATAAATTCCTAGTCCTTCCAAGGACTGCGCCCTAAAGAAGTGATCAACCAGTTTAGTTGCAACGTTTCCGTTTTCATGAGGCAGCGAGAGCTCTAGGCTGGGCGGAGAAGAATCTTGAAAGTCAGTTACAAGTGAGAAGCTCCCGAAATGTAGTTGAAGTATGACAGGAGGGCTGTTTGAGGCCAGCGTTCGAAGACTCCAATTCTATCCAGCAGATACGTTTGCACGAGAAGGCGAAACGTCCAACCTTAAATCAGTGAACTACGAAAATGTACTCTTACTAAAATGTCCCTTCCTGTAGAGCTATAATTAAACTGTAAATGTGTACAACGGTAGCACTGTGGTTGACGAGCAATTGCTGGACTCCCCGGGGCTAATAATTCAGAAGAGAGCAATCATCCAAGGAGAACAACAACGGCTACTACATCAGGTCGAAAAAATGAAAGAAATATAATGAGAAATTGGAGTGAGCATCATTTCTTTTAATACAAAATGACGCAGGTGCCATTGTTGGTGCGTGACTTTAAGCCCTAACCATCATTACTAGTACACGGGAATAAAAGAATCCTAGCTGTAGATAAAAAGGACAGCAAAGTCAAAAGTGAAGAGCAATTGAAGAGTCAGTCGGTTGGCTGATTAAATAACCAGATATCAAGAGCCGTTGGATGTGTGGGATACGAAGTGGTCCGACCGGATAATGGACGATAGAACGTATCCCAACGGTTATAAGCTGGTGGATATAATAAAGCGTGGAAGGCCAGAATGACAGGGATAATTTAATAAGGTGTAG